AAGTGCGACCGCGACCAGATAAGACGCACCGCTCATCACGGATTTTTCGCGGAGGGGGGGGGGGAAGAGTAAGTTAATATCCGGTCTCTTTTTTTCCCGGAACTCATGATACCACGAATAATCGGTGCCTAGAACCGGCCGCCTAGAGAGACCGCACCGCCATGGACCGGCACGGAGTCGGCACGGCTGGCACCTAAGCGCATAGCTAGTCGACCTGCATCCACGGATATGCAGGATTCCGGCGTCGACGGACCTCATACCACTGGAATGCACCGAACGAGCTACAGGCTCCATACTCCATCCCCCGGTGCCCCCGAACCCCTGGCTCCGGCACGCGCTTCTTCTTTCACCTTTCTCCCTCCATCGCCTAGTCGAGCTCTCTCTCTCTCTCTCTCTCTCTCTCACACACACACACACAAAATAAAAAAAACACACACACACACATACACACCTCTCTGCCGTTATTCCCCTTTTCTTTTCGCGGCCTTCTTCGCGACCGCTTACCAGTTACCACTCAGGACGTGTTAATGGCTCTGGCCGGCCACTTGGGTTACCAAGCGCGAATCTCGTGTCACTTCTCCGGGTTTTTGACCGGGTTCTCGCGCCGATCGATCGACGAGTTGGTCGACCAAGAGAAACGCGCGCCGTGACGCGAAAGTTCCCAAACGGACTATTACCCTCGTAACTTCGTCGTCAATAATTGTGCCAGTTTGTCGTTAATCGTAACGCAATTAAAAATAAGAGATCTCTGGACGAAAGTTTCCAGACGTAATAAAGCCGCACTGAATTAATTTTAGGACCTCACTCCGACCGAAACGCCAGTCTGAGATACCAGAGTTCGCAAGAATATGTGGCGCGAATGTAAAATTGCAAAATTTCAGCGAAAGGAGTCCACGACGTTCTTTGGATACGTTTGGCTACTATATATCGATGCACAGAATGACTTGGAAGAGTACCGCTCCAGTCCCGTGGAAAATTACCACTTTTCCAAATTACTAAAACTGCTCTCAATAAGGGAGAATACGACGCATTTGACCTCATCGCGCCCCACCGCTACCCAATTTTCAAAACATCTCGAACAATTTCAAGAGAGAAAGGTTCCAAGACATAAAAGCCTCTTCTTTGTCGCGCGATCGGCGGCCAAAGGCGTGTGCCCATTTTCCTCGTCTCTCTCTCTCTCTCTCTCTCTCGTTCAATAAACCGAGCTTCGGTTCAGAGAGATCACATGACGCAGTCCCGCGCCTCAACGCAACGAGATTGAATCGGTGAATGATTTATCCGCGAAGAATTCAAAGAATCGACAACGAAGAGGTTCTACCGCTACGATGGACTCTCGCATTCCGCATAATTGCCATATATCGTCGTCGATCCATAAATAGCGACGCGACGGAGCCCTGACATGCTCTCCCGCCCCCGCCATTCGCTTTATTGCTCTTCGATCAGGCACAATCGATCGCGCGCGCGCGCGTATCGTTATGGATAAATCGCGGCGCCTCCTCGCGAGGACTGCGTAATCACCTGACGATTGATGGCGCGCCATCGTTACCTCTCTCGTAACATGCCGATAAAACGCACGGCTTCGACGACGCGATAGCGCGCCCCGCGTTTTATCAGCTCGAGACGTGTGAGACGTGCACGCGCTCGTCGATACAATTCGTCCGTCGGGAATACGGATCGTCGTTCACCTACAGCATCCGAATCAAGCGAACGAACGAGCGTGAACAAATGCGAACGAGCAACTTGCTCGAACGAGGGCGAGCAACGTAAACCCTTGGGAAGGGAAGAGGGGTTGCTTCGTATTTGTTGGCACTCACCATTAGATATCAAAGAAGATATCAGTGTTAATTTAAACCCGTCAATTAAATAACGTTTCGTTACTTTTAACCTCCACGTGTAAAATGTCAAAATGTAAATGTCGAAATATTAAGTCAATCCCTTTCTGTTATAGTTCGTTTCAAAGCAAATGTCCATATTGACGTATGCATTTAAATAATAAACTAAATTTGAGCCAAATGTAATACATTTTCTTGAGTTAAATTGTTTAATTCCATTGTTCTATAGTTAAATTAACGACATATGGAGAAAGAGCACAGTAGCGATTTATAAAGATGATTAAAAATAATTGAAATTGAATATAATGTCGAATTTAACAGTTCTCGCTCGCTCAATCCGCTTTCTTTATATCGATCGCGATCGTCGATCTCGAATACACGTAGGCGATTGTCGCGTGATCTAATCGGAAGGTGATCTGATCGGGGAATAATCTGATCAGTCGAGTAATGCAGAATCGCTTGGTAATAAATATTCTCGATTACTCAGCGCACCTTATCGCGCTGCGGTCTAACACATCGCCTGTTATTTCCGTCAGAATTGCCAGATGAGGCGACGTGTCGCCTTTTAAGCAACTTGCTTTCTAAATTTCTTGAAGTGAAACCTTGCTCCAAAAAGAATCAAAATATTCGCCACTATTAAAAAAGAGTGACGAATTTGCACATTTGAATAAGAGTGGCAAATTTTTCGCTCTTGGAATGAAATTTCACTTCAAGAAATTTAGAGAGTGCAAATCGTGCAATAGATCTGTTCTTTTTAGCTGATCTTCTTGCATAATTCATTTTTTTCTCCTTTTACGTTGGAAGGAAAAGGAAAAAAAAAAAGAACTGTGAAAGAAATTCGGTTAAGAAAACAGACCTATTCATCACGAGTTACCTTTTAAGCGACAATGGGCAACATATCGCCTACATCTTGCAAATCCGATTTCGAACAGACTCCATGACGCGTCATCGATGTTACGAAACCGAAATGAAATTTCCACGATGCGGTAACTTTTTTTATAAGGCCTATTTATGGAACCTGTACTCTTCCATGTCCATTCCGCGTCAGAACGAATCTGAATTCTTATTCTTCTTGAAATGTCGTCTCTCGCGTAGGCGCGATTCCCATTTTTATCTCCCACGGAGAAAATATCGTGCAGTAGTTCTAAATATTCAAAAATTATACACATTTTTATCATGTTTTGTTGCAAAGCTAGAATATGTATTTGTACTAATTATATAGTACAAATTACAATTCGTGTTATAAGACATTTTGTTTTGAATTCTACTACCGACATAGGAATTTCTTATGTATTTATAATTAAACTGTTAATTTTTATTATAGCAATTATTTTATAAGAAGTAAAATGTATGTAATCTTTTTGAAGAAAAATATTATATAATTTCTGTTATAATCAGTACATTCCAGAATAACAAGAATTTCATTATAATTTTTATTATAGCTTCTTCGTGCATAACTTTCAAGGTTAAAACAACTGACAACACAGAGTAGATCACAAAGATCGAGATTCATACTTCATGAATCTCAAGCTGTCGTGACGAGTTTTCTCCTTCCCGTCCTTTACATGATCTGATGATTTCGCGACGTTGTTTATTCGTTCACACGTTATAATCGCTCGATAACGGAAGGTAAACAATCCACGTAGTCCTTGCGCAAATAAATACTATCAGCTTCTTCGTTCGAAAATTTTAACGTCAGAAACATAACGTTTGGTCTTATCACGATGTTATTTAACTACATTCGATAATTGCGATCAAATCGCTTATCAATTTGGTTTTAGTAAGTGATGCCCAAATAAACTTCCACATGGAAAAAAACAATACCTGAAATATCTAAAAATTTAATTAGATATAGATCTGAAAATATTTTTGTTAAACTATCAAAATAATTATGTAGAACGCTCAAGCTAATTGCCAGAATATCGAAATTTTTTATAACATTACTCACATCATACTTGAGTATTTTACGTAATTATTTTTATAGGCCAACAAAATTATTTTCAGATCTGTATCTAGATAAATTTTCAAATACTTTAGTAAAATCGTTCCTTCTGTGGAACAAAATACGCGTAAAAATAATATGGAGGAAGTTTCGGTAGAAGATTACAACTAGATTGATGGAATTTAATCCGGAAGATTCGATTCCAAATCAAACCATAAATAGTTTCAGACGGTATTTGAGAAATGAGAAAAATGTTGCATGTTATTGAGAAAGATAACGTTCAACCGCATAATAAATATATGATAAATAAGTGTATAAATAAGTACGTAAATATGATAAAATAAAATTATTTATGATCGATAGTATTATCGAAAGCATTATCAAAAAAATGATAATAAAATTGCTCTTCAAATTATTCTCCCTAATATACCGTTTTCTCAATATGAAATATATTATAAACAATATTAAATATTACAATATTACAATATTAAATAAAACACAAAATAATTTGTAACATTTACACAATAAGATTAGATCAATTTAAGTACGAGATAAAATTCAAACTATAAGTACAAAATTTCTAGACATCTATTTGTCTTCAATAAATATATAAATATAGATGTGTATATTCCTATTTGCAGGTTATCAAAGAAGCTACAAATGCCGGAAATCAAAAGTTTCCGCAGTTTGCCTTTCCTTTCCCTTCGCCGATAATTAGTAAACGATGTTCCAATAGCAATATTTTCTTATAATCAAAATATAAGGAGACGTCCATCACGTCCAAACTTTATTTTCGGATCATCATGGTGTCTTGATTGATACAAGATCGTAATGTGCTTGTAATATGCTCCTTCAGTGATAAAGAATCACTTCAAATTCCGAAAAACTTTGAACAGTTTACATGATGAGAGATAGAATTAACTGGTGCAGCCTGATAAGCTATCGGTATTATGGAATCTCATATCTTGTC